GAACTTTTTCTGTAGCGCTACAAAAGCGACAGAACTTAATCTGGTCAGATGACATGGGTCAGATTAAAATTCAAGGGACAAAATGGAAGAGCAATGACGAAAAAGAGCAGTGTGGGTAGGTTCTAAACCAATCGCCCAATGCTTCACAGTTCCTATAAGTACAGCAAAACCCTGGATGACTGACTCTGACCCTCAGAAGCTTAATACCTATCAAATTACTGTTGGAGGTCACCTGAACAAGAAAATTATGTATCTTTGCCAATAATGTTTGCTATAATCGCTATTCCATTCTCGAGAGCCATATCTGACATAGGATCTAAGCGATGTTTCAGGTAACAATGAATCCTACAATCCACAGGAGACTAAAGCTCGATGGGTATGGAACCCAGCAAGCGGATCAGCTCAGAATAGACTCCCGAAGTAACTAAAAGAACCTATCCACGTCTACGAACTTAAAGAGCTATCAATCAAAAGAGTAGCTAAACTACTACCAAGTTAAAAGCATTGCAATATCAAGTAGCAGCAGATTTTCACATTCCAATACCAAGGTCGTATTATCTTTAACGTCCTTGAGGCAAAGGCTAAGCGCGAAAGGCGTACCTCCTGGAGCAACGTACCATCGGCAGTGTTAAACAACCGAACCAGAGTGCCTTTGGTGCTCGCCGTGGCCAACAAGTGCCCGTCTTGCGTGAGCGCGAAACAAGCAATCCGTGAATCATGGGCCATGATGAACTTAGTCCGCTTCGACGCGTAATGCTCGACCCGAACTTGACCCTTCTGCAAACCAGGGCATACGAGCAACATCGCCCCAGCTCCCTGAGAAACGGAGCATAGACCCTTAGGATTCGCGATGGTCTCTATCTGATGCATCAGCTTCAGGTCGGCGAAGTTGTACACAAATATCTTCTGCTCGAGAACAACGACGATCCGATCCCTCCTGAGCCGGACCGCTCTCACATCGGACCTGAATGAGAGCTCGCCGATGCAGCGGCTCTGATGATCGTCCCAAATCATGACCTTATTGGGCGGATACTGCGGCTCGTGACCACCGCCAACGAAGGCCAGGATATTGCACCGAAAAAGCATCTCCACTACACCGACCCCACCGCCGCGATCGAAATCTCGCCGGAAGATCTCGCGAAAAGGGTCGCAGTTATAGATCCGGAAGCCGCGATCGGTGCCAGCAGCGAAGCAAGCGTGATCCTGGTTAAAGGAGAGGTAGAACAGGGAAGGCGGAGGCGTCACCGGTGAATGCTGCGGCGGAGAGAGAGTGGTGTGAGCGTTGAGGTCCCTGTTGGGATCCAGTTGCCGAGTGAGCTCCTCGTCCTGGAGACTCATGGAGGAGAAGGAATCGAGAGAGTCGGTGGGGTCGTGGCGATCCTGGGGCGGGAGAAGAGGAGGAGCTGAATCGGAGGCGGAGGTGGAATTAGGGTTTGAATCGGAATCAGGGTTTTGCCAAGCAGGAGAGGAGAAAGCGGAGACGGTGGCCATGGAAGAGAGATTTTGGAGGATTCTAGAGAAATCGGAATTCGGATAGAAGCGGCGTGGATAAGAAAAACAAAAAGGAATAAGATACGAGACGTGAGCACGGCTTCGTGCTTTCCTCAACGTCTCGTCAAGATTTTGTTTACAGTATTCCGTTGTTTTTTTTTTCTCCTCCCAATGCAATATTCCTTCCAAAACTCTGTGTAATTTAAACAGAAAACAATGCATTTCAATAGTAATTATATATCAATATATCAATTTATTATCTACAAATATCTAAAAAAAAATATGCAACGCAACATTAAGAGTTTTGAAGTGATTACAAGGCTGTTGGCCTTCAGCCACGGTGAAGTTGACGAGGGAGTTGCCTCGACGGTGGCTTCGGTGAAATTTAACAGTATTCTATGTTTACATATTTTTTCCCTGAAACACGGATCCGTTGTAGTCTAGATGGTTAGGATACTCGGCTCTCACCCGAGAGACCCGGGTTCGAG